TCTTTCCCTCATTTCTGCGATAAGGGACACCCCAAGTCGAAAAGTGGCATGTAGCAAACCTCACGAATCTTGCATGCACACAGTTTTGCACAGCGGCTAAAAACCATGCCATGCTGATAAACCAGGCTCTTTTAGGTTCATTCTTCATGGTTCCTTCAAAGTTTCTTCTGTCCAGTGTCTTCTCTTTATCAAATTGCATTTCATCACATTCTAAGTCGAGCTCAGTTTCCTTTCCCTCTTGAGTCACTCTTTCTGCTTACTTATGTTAGTAGCCAAAATTTAACTTTTCTTCGAAGGTGCTTGGATTTCTCGTCTCCCTACGAAGCTCATTGATTTGCATGGACTCTTTCATTTGCCTAAATCAGGGGAGCTTTTGACCTCACTATGGTTCTTTGCTTGGGGGGAGCGAGGCTGTTCAAACTAAAGACTACCATTGCTACCGCGCCATAACGCTTTTCTTTATTGCACGTTACAACGACTACTTTGAAAAGCGTTGGTAACCAGTGCAGGACAGGATTATCGGCATCGAAAGGTAAAGCCCGTATGTGATGCTGGAAAGATGACGACGTTGAATGCCAAAAAGGTTCGAGATGGGCAGTACTGAACACGTCTGGTCTGTGCTTGACTGTCGGATGGTCCGAAACGGGATATGGAAAAGTGAAGTGACTGATGATATAGTGTAACTATTGAAGTAAGAATAATTTTGACCGACTTGAGTTTACCGACGAAGATGAGTGATTAAGACAGCATGGAAAAATTAATCGCTAAAAAATTCGATAAGCTTCATTAACAACAATAGTTAGCTGATCATTCGTCATGATTAGCTAGGATTACCATTGCCTAGTCTCGATGTCCACACATATGTCTCATGTGGTTTTTCACCACAGGCTTCCATATCACTCATTATTTCACCGTCCAGGATGAGTCGAGGTCCTCAGATTTGGTGATTGCAATCCCTTGGGGACCTATCCCTCCCTTGTGAAGTTAATTGGTCATCCATCAGTCATTCATCGACGAATCCGTCAGTGGTGCGATGCAGTCCGTCGTCGTCCTACTCGAACTGCACGCATGAGGTCGGGGAACATATTTGTTTATGCTTTTCATTCCATTCGATCTTGTCAAATGGCCGATACGATTTTGACTATTGAATAGAACGTCCATTTATCCATCCCGGCAGAATGGAGTTCCAGGAGATGGCTCTATGACGCTTGGCCAGCTTGGAATCTTC